TATCAGATATCTCCAAATTTCATTTTATTTAAATAAATCAAAATTGTACAAGACAAAGTAGACTAACCCACCTAGATAAAGATCCACCAGATAAAATCTAATCGAGGTGGGATTGCTCTTCTAATTCTTTATACAGATGTTCTCGTTCTCTCGATAAAATGTAATGCAACTAAATTTCTGTAAATAAGGCATGATCTAAAAAGAAGCACATGCTATTATGTCTCTAAAACATGGAGCAGCTTCAGCTGAAAATGAATACACACAAAAATTTCCATCTAATGGCTCCCCCCCTGAAAATGTTAAACGAAACACGTGAGGCATGATGGCAAAAGCCAAAGGGTCAAAACTAGGGAACAAAATTGCTGTCACATGTAGCTTCACTGCTTATCTAGGGAGAGAAAGAATGGGATCTCAAAGGGGTAAAGATTTATACCTCCTCACGCACATCTTTAATTTTTTTAACTACTTCAAAGCCAACAACAAACTATGCTGTGTTTTTCTTGTTTCTAAAGCTCTCCTTCAGCAAAGCAAATTTTTTCTTGCACTGGTTTATAGTTTTCCCAGGAACAGCAGCAGCAACCCGCTCCCAACGTTGACTGGTTTCTTTTGGGAATGTTTTTAGAGCCTGAACCAGTGCTCTTTCTTGCACCGCAGACCACACATCTTGGTCAGCACTTGAAGACAACCCATTTGCAGTGACCAAATCATCAGTTTTCTGCTTGTCCGTGTCTCTTGAAGACTCTTCTTGAGCCACCTTTGCAGCACTACTTTCACGTGCTTGAACAGTTGATGCCCCTTCTATTTCCTCTCTAGTTGAAAGGGGAGATGCAATGGATTGTGCAGGTTTCCTCTTCTCAAGAAAAGAATCAAAAGCTTTAGCTGCGTCAGGTTTCTGAAGGAGGACTGTTTTTGTTGCTTTTAAAATTTCTTCAACAGATCTTCCTGTACCAATGTAGTCTGAAATAACCTCCCACCTCCGCGATGTTCCTTTAGGATATTTCTGCGTTCCTTTTCTCAGAAGCTCAATTTCTTCACGGCCCCAAGGTTTCTCCTTCTTTCCAGAGCTGCTTAATGGGGAACTTCCATTGGAGTTCAAAGAGCCATTCTGCTGTGAAATCTTCTTCTCTTCTTGTTTACTGCTCCCAGAATCATTATCACATCCACATGCATCTCTCAGTACTTTTGCTTGCTCTAGCACTTCTTTGCCCTCAATCCTGTCACATACACTCCTAAGCTGCTCAATATCCAGTGACATACAAAGATTCTCCACATCAGCCTCGCTAAGATTGAGCAAACACTGTGACAGAACAGATCCTGAAAGAGTTCGAAGGCGACTCCGCTCTTTACGCAAAAGCTTCTTCTCTTTCTCCTTTAATTTCTTCTGCTGTAAAGCAGCTTCAGCAACACGTTTTTCCTCCTCTTCTTTCTGGCGTTTCTCCTCTTCAGCAGCCCTTGCAGCTTCTTCTTCTTGCAATCTTTTTGCCAAAAATTTAGCTTCCTTCTTTCTTTGCTTCTCGGCTTTCTCCTCCTCCTTTCTCCTCAATATTCTTGGGTCTCTCTTATAGGCACTGTCAACAAGAGTACGTATCCGTGCATAGTCTTCCTTTCTTGCCTTTTCTGAAAGCTTTGCATTCTGCCTCTCCATCCATCTCTTGTGGTCACGAGACTCGGCTTCTTCAAGATCAAATTCATCGGCATGAGGGAACTCTCTCCAGCTTTTAAAGCTGTACCAAAAATTATAAAAGCTATCTACTTCTTTTAAAGAAGTTTTCTCATCACCTAAAGATGGGACTGTTTGGTTAACTGACCACCGTCCATTCCTCGTAAAAGCAGGACCAAACACCTTGAAGAAGTCTTGAGGAGCACAGTCAGTGGGAATTTCATCATCAAACTCATCTGTAGAGTCATATATTCTTCTCTTCACAGGATCAATCAAAGCTTCATATGCTTCTTGGATTGCTTTAAAGTGGCTCTCTATTTCATCCTTTTTTGCTTGTTTTGCAGCCTCAGTTTCCTCAGCAAGAAGAATAGCAGCCTGTTTGTCTGGATGATACTTCAAAGCAACCTCACGATAGCTTTTCCGTATTTGTTCTTCTGTGGCAAGATATCTCAAATGGCCTAAACCCAACAAGGCATAGTGATCCTGTTGCATATCTCCAGATCCAGATTTCTTTTTACCTTTGGTGCTATAGGATTCAGATGATGGCATGTATGATTGTTGTTTGTCATTGGACACTTTCTGATCTTCAGTCTTTGTGCCTTCCTCCTCCCAGCCAAGGAGTTTTAAAGCAGCAGTGTGAAAAGCATGCCCAGCTGGTTCAAATTTCAAAGCTTTGATTGGAAGGCCGTTTGAAGAAACATGCAATGGCTGTCCATCTACAAGCTCTTGTGAGTAAGAAATAAGACGAAGACTAGTTTGGATGGCCATGACGTTACCAATATCAATCTCCAAAATCACCTCAATTTAGAACCCTGTTCAGCAATCAGTGTTGTAGCTATCTTCAAGCTGCACTGGAACAAAGCTTCAATCAGTAAAATTCATGCAGAAGGAAGTACAAGGATTAATACTTTCTAGCAACAATCCAAGGAGTGTGACTTAGTCAGCATGTTGTAGAGTACAGGGACAGTAGACAGAACACGCTAGTTGACAGGTATATTGACTAGCATGAATCAGCAGAAAATAAAAAAGCATACACACGCAGTTGAAAGCCACTTCACAGACTTGAACATGCTTTTATAAATATTAGAGCACCCATCTCAAGACCATCAAGCTCTAAGTTGTATTGGAACAATATTTATCAACTCCAACAAAACATTAAAAGCCCACAGAAAAGCAGCAATTTTCTAATGCCCTGCTACAAAAGTTAATATACTTTATTTCAAAATAAAATAGCAATAAGTAACATTCCAAGTCCTTATGAAAGCCTAAAAGACATTATGTACGTGCTTGGCACATAGAAAGGTAGAATTAGCCACACCAGTATCAAACATTCTAGAGATCACATCTCCAACAAACCAGAACAAACCAGAGATACGAAAACCAGCGCAATCCAGAATTAATTTTAGGCTTCACAGAATTATCGATGCACCCATATCCAATTGCACAAAAATGTCATATAGAAAACATGTAACATTCAATTTTCATTAAAAATGAAAATTTTTAAGAAATTAAAAAAACATTATAAAATACACATAAAAGCGTAGGAGTCAACAACATGCCAAATATTTTACGTTCAACAATCACCTACAAACACTCCGTCAATAACACCAATTTTACCATTAAAATTACCATATCCAAAAAAAATACACCAACTTTCTCCAGTAAACGTTCGTAAGAACTTCTCAAGAACAATTACAGCTCTCACCCCACTCCTCCTCAATGAAAAAAATCATCACCCAACTACGCTCATGGGTTCTTGGATTTATTCCAGAAAGCTCACCAGATTTCATATACTTGTAAATACCCTTCAATGACTTCACGTTAATATCAAAACATAAGGCCCTATCGTTTGCAAACTTGGAAAATTCATCCAACATTAAATTAAATTGATACCTAAATCAACCCCTTCTCAGCATTCGTACCAATATTAAACACGAAACCTTAGTAAATCAAAATAAGCTAACATCAGGCTAATTTGTAACTTAACTAACGTCATTAAACACAAATGATCATTTAACCCTCAACGTTAGCTAAGGTTTTCGCATGTAAATCACGTAAATCAACAAAATAATCAAGCAGATAACATAAAGAAACAAAATTGATGGGGAAATAACCACGAACTAGACTTAATACGAAATCAGACCACATAAAAACGATCAAAACATCGATCACTTAAAATCGCAAAAAGGGATTTCAAGAAACAACAAAAAACACAAAACGTGAACAATCATAGTAAATGAAGAGCAGATGTTGTTACCTGAATTTGAGGTGTTCGCTTGTTTATTGGAGAGAGGGAGCTCCAAAGGAGGGCTCTCTTTCTCGAGAGGAAATATGATTGCGGTTATAAATTAGGGTTTTTCTAGGATTCTGAGAATTGTGAGGAATTAGGGTTTTTGAGGGGGGCGCAAAGCAGTGGAGAAGGCAAAGCAAGGGAAAAAGAGGCTGCTTGCTGCTGTTCTTTTTTTCGCTATTGATTTAGCTTCCGTTGAGGTTTTATAGATGGATGGTTGGATTCACGGGTGGCTTCTTATTGGGCCGGGCTTACGTGTCCACTTACCAACTAATTTTTGTATTGAAGACCTGAAAGCTGGACACTCCTTGACACACGAAAGTTTAGTATTTCAGTAACTTGCTTTTTAAATTATTTTTAAAATAAAATATTAAATTGATTTTTTTCACAATTTTAATATATTGATAAGAAAATTATTCTAATATGATTTTAATTAAAAAATTATTTTTATAAAAGCACTGTATTATTAAACATACACTTAATCTCCATTTATTGAAAGATTGATTTGTTAAACAATAATCACATGAAGCTATTTTATAATATATTTTTTTAAAATAATTTTATTTTTAATTTTTGGTTTAATTAGATAGAGCAAAAATGATAAGAATTCATGATTATTATTTAATAAAAAAACTCAAGATATGAACTTCTAAAATAATTTTAAATTAACACATTGTACTAAAATAATAAATTACTATATATAACGACATCATCCACTTAACTCGATCAATTAAATACTTTCAATAATAAAATATTTCAATTCAAAAAAAGTTCAGTAATTTTTATTAACACCATTCATGATAAAACATCCACTCACTTTAATTATTCAATAATACATATACATATGCATACATACATATACATACATACATATATAAAATAAAATGTACATGACATAAATTTATATTTTTTAAATATATTTCAACTTGTCAGAGATTTATTTTATAGCGATTATCAGTTTTATTTATTAAATTGTTAATTTTAATTAATCAAAATATTCCGAACACTCACCTTAATTAAAAAAATTATATATTTTTTTAAACTTTCGTAATTGCAGATGGAGCTGCCTAAAACGGACTGATCAACATCTGGTTATATGGCGGCAGTACTTACTTCCTCCTCAGCCATGTCTCTCTCACCAAAAGCCCTCTTGCATCGCTCGGTAATTCTTCTTCCTCCTCTTCTTCTTTTTCCTTTCCTCTTTTTCATGGAAAATTAATTCCTTGTTTCAAATCTGCTTACCAGTGTTTCAACGAGCTTCCGTGCATTTACACTTCTAGGGTTCCCACTCGGTTCCACCTACAGAAATCAAAGAGCTCCTCATCAAACCTGTCCCACTTTCAACGTCTCTGCTCAGTTACCGGCGACAACAATGTGAGTACCATTCACATTCTAACTATCCCATATTCATAAAATGATTAATGTTTGTTTAAAAACTTTTTTTTTTTGGTCTTTGGTTGTGTAAGGTTAGGTTTCTGGTTCATGGAATTCTCATAACAAAAATCATGACCATGAAGGTATTTTATGTTGTTATTATTAGTAGTAGTAGTAGTGATAATAATAATAATAATAATTTGTTCTTTCAACAGTATGGTGTTGAAAATTTGATGAATTTATTGTCTTGCCAGCTAAATTATCTGGCATCTTACCTTGTTTTCCAGGCTCCGGGGAAAGGAGTGAAATGAGTCGATCGTCAGCTTCGAATGAGTACTTTCTTCTTATTCATTGTGCTGACATTATTTTGTTTGTTAATAGCATGATGATGGCCATGCTGTTGCTTTCTTGCTTGCCCTTGAATATAATACATAGGAATGTACAGATAGATTTTCTTTTTTCTTTCTGCTAATTGCTTTGTTGATTAGAGGCATGGAGATTTCTGGTGGCGATGAATGTTTTATAAACGGAAGCTATATATAGCTTTGAATTAATGGGTTTAATTACTTTTTGTAAAATGAGTATTGTCTGCATGGTGTGATTTTACTGCCATTATAAACGGAGAGAAGAGAAGGTAAGTTAGAAATGCATGAATATCTTCTCTTTTCATCAGGGTTTGAATTGTATGTGTGCTGATCTAGTCTCTCTCTTTTTTTTTTTTTACTATTATTATTTAACTTGTCACCAGTGTGTTGAAGAAACTAAAGAGATATGGGATTTCTGGAATATTATCCTATGGGCTTTTGAATACTGCCTACTACCTTACAACCTTTCTCGTGGTGTGGTAAGTGAAGTAATCTTTTATAAGAATCAGTTGGTCCATGTTTCTTTTAATGTGCATAAAACCCCAGGGTGTGACAAACTTGAGAGGTTTGTGCTGTTTGATCGTGGACAGCCTGTCACTCACATCGTTCAGCACACCTTCAATGCTAATTGGCAAGCTGTGGGTTTGAAATTTGTGACCAAAGATTAATTATACCTGCTCTTAATGTGGTGTACGTTGCTTTATCTCTAGACTTTTGAGTAGTCACATTTCCAGGTCATGAAACATCATCATTCTGTAGACGAGTCTGGTAAATGAATGTTTGATGAAGAATCCAGCTATGGCCTGGTTACGAATAAAAGAAGCTTACTTTTAGGGAGCCTTATTGGATCTTCTCATTGAGAGAAACATAGTGTCCACTTAAAGTTGGAATAAATGGATTAAGTATGGTGTTTTCTTTTCTCCCACACAAATTCATTTTCTTGATATATTAGACCAGTTCTTGTATAGGAGTAGGATGTTGGGGTGCTGATTTGATAATTCAAGTTGCTGCTATAACTAAGTTTGGCGTGACTTATTTGACTTTTTATCTTTGAATTTGAAGGCAGATTCAAAGTTATGTTGTTTGTGGACTGTCTTGGGCTTATACTCTACAGCCTTTGAAATTTAAGCTAGCTTCACTTGCTTACCAGGTTCTATGTTGCTCCTGCACCTGGAAAAATGGGTTATTTCGCTGCTGCTGAAAGGTAAAATACTGATCTTTCTAAACATCAATGGGACTATAAAATAGCATGGAAATTTAACTTGTTGCAGATTTCTCAAAGTGATGGCAATGGTGTGGGCTGGGAGCCAAGTTACCAAGCTCGTGAGAGCAGGAGGGTGAGCTGCTAGAGACTTTTCTTTCTTCATGTTACTTGTCTAAATGTAAAGATTGATTCCATGACCTTAAATAACCAGGAGGTGTTCAGGAATTGTTATTGCTACTGTTTTTTCCTCGTCATGTTCACTTGAAGTCAATTCAATCTAGATTTCAAAATTCATAAATTTATTTGGTTTTTCTTCTATTTTTGGGGCTTAACAAATGGATAATTTATGGGCTGTTTGGGTTGCTGCTGAGGTTGGATGGTCCTCAAGCATTGGGACACTGTAACGAGTAATGACCATAGTTGGAACATTTCTCAAAAGTGTCTGAAATTAAACGAACAAACCAGAAAACATAAAATATTTGGAGATATAAATTCCTGGTCTGATGCACAATTGCTGTTACGATTAATGCAATTTAGAGGAACTAAACCCCTGTTTTCAACCTCAGCAAAGAATTTGTCTCTTAAAGTTGCAAGGACATGGATGTAGTTGAACCTTGTGAGCTTGTTTTATATTAAACTAAATCAGTTTTCTGTTGGATTGCTTCATGGTAATTCTTTTTGTCTAGATCATGAACCAGCATTTCTATTTTATCCACCTGTCTTTTTTCCCAATGTCCATGTTTTATGATTTTGTTTGATGTTCTTATACTACCATTTTGCATCTAGAATTGGATGATTCCCATCCACAGTAAGGCTCTTTTACTATCTTTTTAAATCTTTTAAGCCTAATTTAGTAAGTGCATTATATATTTTGAAGCATTTGTTTCTTAAAGAGATACCTCTTGCCCAGGGCCCTTGCTCTTGCACCTTTTGTAGACAGAGGATTGTCATGGTTCACTGTCAAATTCAAATTTGAGTCTCAGGAGAAGGTACATATCTAATGTTTGGCATTTTCAAAACATTCTCATTCATTCGATTTCGTGTAACCATTACATTATACTGTTTCAGGCTTTCATAGCAATTGTTGGATTCTGTTTTGGACTAGCCCTCATTTTATTTCTAGTCATGACGTTGCTCTGGGCATAAAATCATCAATTCGTTCTCTTTTAGGTAGGGGGTGTTTCCATTTTTCTTCCCCGCAAAAATAAAGGTTGGCATCCTTGATTACTTTCACCTTTACATTATTTATTAATAGTGACCTTGTCCTGTTCCAGGTGGAGCATATTCCATGTGAAGCAAAGGAGCTGCATCAATGTTTCGAAGATGAAACTACCAAGCATAGGCATGTGACTAATGTTCATTCTCTCGTGGATTCAAGACCATCCATATTTGGTGGTGAAAGTTGCAGAGATCCAGCTTGATAAAAAAAAAAAAAAAAAAGAGGGAGAAGAAAAGCTTATCTTTTACTCTTCTCCTACAAAACTTTTTTATTCTTGACCATCAAAGAAAAAGCCTTATCATCTTATTGCAGAGAGCACAATAATTTCCCACTGAGAACTGCTATTCTCACATCACAATGTTATATTCTCAATTAAGTTTCTTGTCATTTCTTTTTGGCTCAGACTAGGAACAAGAACAGGACAGGGATGCCTGTCTCAAGGAAATAATCTCTTCTGCTAGCAGTATGACTCACAATAACAGGACAGGATGTCGGCTTGTAAAACATGTGCTTTCTCATACTGGACAGGCATGAGACGGGTAACTAAAGAAAACAATCTCGTAACACCCAAAAAAAATTAGAAGACAGTCTCGTGAACATTTAAGGTGGTTCCAATTATACCCTATTGGAGAGGGATCATCGATCTCCTGTTTGTAGTCAAATTTTGAACCCTTCGGCTTTTTTTTCTGATATTAGGAATTAAATTTGTATAAAACATTTCCCCAAGCAATTTACAGCAAACCTTTCTAGCTGATGATCTGTCCTCTCTCTCTCTCTATCCCACTTGATGAGGTGAATCCTGAATCTGATCGTGCAGAAAACCATTCCGGGGGGCCAAGAGTATTGGTTGAAATCTGGATTTAGAGTAAACCGGTTACATGTTGCATATAAGAAGACAATTCTGGGGAATCTGTTGCAATATCACCACACATTGAACAAATAACCGGGAATGTATTGGCAACAGGTTATATGCAGACACGGTTCAGACGTGTTTTTGTGTTTTGAAGCCAGCTTATGCATGGTACAGCCCAACAACATATTTCAAACAAAGAAGAAAGGTTAGCACCTTTAAGTCACCTCTCGAACTGTTCATATAAAGGATTGGCAGCCACGGTAGATACCCTAACGAAAACTTCCCCTCTCGAAAGATTTCCAAATCGATGAAAATAACCTCCAGAAGCCTCAAACCGTCATCCAATTCCTAAAATCTCGTACCCACGTTGCCAAAATGATCGAAAAGTGGCCCGCTGTCCTCCGTTCCAAAACAGAAGGTACTCTCAAGCCTATATTTGACTTCTTAATAAAAATTGGCTTTGCGGGTCAGCTTCTGCCTCAGCTTGCCGTATTGAATCCGATGATTTTTAAAACGTCATTAGACGCTCAAATCAAGCCATGTTTTGAGCTTTTGAAACCACTTCTTGAAAGTAACGAGAATATTTTAGCTGCTCTTAGACGTTCTCCTTTTTTAATGTCCTTTAGTTTCAATGGTACCCTGCGACCAAACATTGACTTGTTGAAGGAGGGAGTGGCCGTTGATACGGCTGCAAAACTGCTATTGTCGCAGCCAAGATCTTTACAACATAATAATGATAGGATGGTTTATGCTGTCAATTATCTTAAGCAACTGGGCATCGACAATGTATATACATGCTCTTACAGTGATTGCACGAATGAGTGAATCTGCTTGGAGGAAGAAAATTGATATGTTTAAGAGTGTTGGGTGGACCGAAGAGGAGGTTTTGTGGGTTTTTAAGCGATTCCCTTGTCTATTATTAACTTCAAAGGAGAAAATCCGGGGCATGATGGATTTCTTTTTGAATAAGATGAAGTTGGAACGGTAAACTAGAGTTGCCAATCCTGTGCTTCTTAAATTGTCTTTCAGCAATAGGGTTCTTCCGAGGTGCAATGTTTTGAAGTCAAAGGAGAGAATAACATCGGTACTTTTCTAAAATTAAGCGAGAAGGATTTCATGTAGAGATGTGTTACCACGTACGAGGATAAAGTCCCAGGTTCACTGGAGTTGTATGGAGGAACTGACAAAGGAAAAGGATGATATACTGGATAGCAATGCAGGTATTGTGTCAACTTGTTTTGATTTATGTTGCTCAATCTATTGCTTGAATACTGGGAGTACATTTTCTTGTGTTTTTACTTATTATTTCTTTAAGTCATCTATTGGTGTTTGTTTTTACTAGCTGATGTTCATTTTGATTATCATTTACTGCATAGACAAGTCCGAGCAGATAATTTGGCTTAAATCTTAAAATTTTCTGGGAAATCTTTCGTAAACACATCTAAGTACTGATAAAATTGTGTGATTGCATTATTCTTCCCTTGCTTTTCAAAGTAAACCTGAATGGTCGAGCATTTTCGTTTTTGGTAGATATTTTTTCTTTGAGATTCTTAATCTGAGCACTAAAACATAAGAGCAGATGTATAAAACATCCTCTTTGGTTGGTTCCCTTACTTGCTCATAAGCTAAAAGGTTTCTGATGCTTCTGTAAATAGTTGTTTTTTAAAGTTCGTATTTATGTTGTTAAATGAGGGAAACTGATATGAGAAGGAAAAGACAAAAACTACCCTAAACTTCTACCCTGTTGCTTCCATACCTACGAGCTCTGAACCAGGAATAAGGTTAGGAGTTTGAATGGCTATTTTGCTATGGTAAAAATATAGAAGAGGGTGTCAAACATGAAAGAGTTGAGTCTTCTCAGTTTTATCATTCATGCATATTAAATACTGGCTACGTGTAGACAAACACAGGAAGGCGATTGATATCTACAGACTCACATTGAGTTTGGTTGGGACTTAGGAGAAGCATATTTTAGATTACAGGCATGATTGAACGCATGGATTGCAAATTGCCATTTGGTACACTAGTGGTTTATTAAGCTTGTTGTCAAGAAGCTTAATCATCTTAACAAATGTATTTCTTTCCCATGGTTGGAATTTAGGAATTTGGATAGTGAAGTTCTCTTGTAAACAAAGTGTAAAGGTTCGCACCCTTTATCGGTGGTTTTTGTTGGTTCTTTTGCCATTATTTGGCAGACAATAATCAAATAACAAGCCTCGATTCATGGAATTGCTTGATGGAGGAGATAAAGATATATAAGAACTAAAGGGAGAAGGACAATAAATTGCTTTTTTCAGTTTGGACTGCATACTGCACTTGTTTTTTCAGGGACGGTAGAGTATAACTTCCACATGACTTCATCTAAATAGGCAATCATATCTATGTTGAGTTTACTTATATATTCATGTAACCGTAACTTTTGTAGTTCGTTTCTAAACTTCATTGGACACGTGCTACAATTGTTTAAACGTCCAAGCTTGCGTAGATTGCATGCTTATTTACATACAATGGAACAAGTATTTCAATTGTTGTGTGATATTTCAGTTGGGAAACGTTCTATTTTTTTCTACGGAGCTAAATTTACGTTGTCCAGCTAATAATGAAGGTGGACACCTTTTTCATAATAATTTTTTTGTTGTTGTACCAGGGTATCCTCCGGCCCCTTCCGGACCAGGAGACTAATCCCCTTCGTGGCATCACCGGGCACCTTAAAGCGGGTTCCACTACCAGTGAGGATTAGAATCATGTTCGTCTCATGGGAAGGACTAGCCCCTTGCCGCTAGACCCAACCCTCGTTGGTCTTTGCATGATGATTTGATTGCTAGGGACATGGATTTTTCCATTTCTAGTTCCAGTTCCAGTTCCAGTTCCTTGTGGTTGCGTTCATAGTCATTTGCAATTAGCAACAGAGCTATATGATTCAGTATTTTTGTGCCAAATAATTTCCTTGGAGCAAATATGCTGGATCAATTGGGTGGTATTAGATGTTTAAGACTGGAATTGAAGTTGTCAGCAGTGTTTAAATCCTATTTTAGCAGTTAAGCATCATTATCATGAGTAATTGTAATTTAATTTCTGACTTCTCTAGTCAGTGATTTTTAAATTCAGGACTTTTACTGGATTCAAATACTCTATTAATCTGTAGAGTGTGTTTTATCATTAAAAAGGGCGTGGCTCACATGTGGTTGCAGATGTTGAAGCCAAAAAACTAAAGCTGTTTTGAGCTCGAACTCTGATATCCGATAATTAAGAGCAAGAATATCCTGAAAAGCTTTTATGGTGGACAAAAGGCTTGATAAGCACCATTGTTCGCTTTGCCTGACCTCCCACCCTTCAAATTAAGGACAGTTGCAATTTGGCCCTTCAGCTTTCAAGAATACTTGAGCTGGGGCCTTGATCGTGCTTCCAAGTCTTTTTAACCTTTGAAGGCTACATGAAGGTGCCCTTTATGATGATGTTTTGTGCAAGTCAGAGTTCAAGCGAATCAATGGGTTTCCTACAAGTGTAATTACCTTGTACAGTTACTGATTCTGGGACATTTTAATGAGGGATAGCTTGGTGAAACTTGAATTTCATCAAAAACTAAAGAGCAAGTAAATAATGTGTCAAATTTTTTCATTGACAAATGAACTGTCAGTTCTTATTATAATCTACGAAATAGAAAAATTCACTTCCTTGAAAAGATGATAAAACAAAAGGTGTTTTTACAAAACACCAAAGAATGATAGGCTCTTCTAGCTTATATTATCATTCATACTGCAACTTTCCCTGAGTAGATTGTGGCAGGATGAAATTTTTGGGCTGGTCTGATAAACATGTCAGCAGATTCTGCAATTCCTTGTTCCCCAGCTTTCAAAGGAAGTAGCCTAGGCTGCACAACAAATTGCTTGCGTGAAGCATTTGTCATGTGGGGCAATGTATCAGCTGCATGTGAAACTCCATGCGCAGTAGTTCCGCCCATGTTACTAGATTGCGGTCCAAATCTGAATTGCCTGGCAGGAATTGAAACATGCTGGTTTGCCCTGTTGAGGTCGCGATGCACAGGCGTGCTCGAGTAAGCGTGTAACTTGTTGGGGGAAGGAAAGCTGTGGTTGAGATTTGAATTAGATAAAGCCTCATGATATCTCTTGTAACATTCCTGC